AAAAGCACAAATTTCTGCTTTAGTGAGGAACTTCCAATGGAAGTGAATAGAGCCAATTTGTAAACGTTAAAGTAAGTCTCAATGTTACAGCCACAAGACATAACAATATAAGCGTCATGACTTTAGTGGAAAAAATATTCTAACCAATTCTGTGTAAAGTTATAGACCTTCATACAACTTTGAAGCCATGACAACACAGAAAACCCTAAAATCATTTTAAAAAAATTATGATTTCAACTGCTTTATGGCTCAAACAATAAACATGTTTTAACAGAAGAATTAATGTAAGTACATGTATAAAATTATAAGCTTCATATTTCTGCTTTTAAAATCTCCAAGAATTGGCCCCATTTACTTCCACTGGAAATGCCTCATTGTAACTGTGATTTTTGCAATATATAAAGAAAACAACTAAACAAAATCGAATCGAAATTAACATTAGGCCACAAATGCTGTTGTCGATTGAGCCTAACTTGTATTGAACCCAAAATATTCCTCCAATTAGTCTCATACCCGTATAAAAGAAACAAAAAAGAGGTGTTAACAAGATCTTGCCTGTGATTTTTCCCTCCAATGGGAAGAAAACTGCTTTCACCAATTGAATTATGGCAAATATGCACCTACTAAGCACAAAGCCAGTTGACTATCACATTTTAAAGCTGATTTCCCTATAACATCACCATTACAAAGACTAAAACACCCATTAGCAACTGAAAGCGTTCTATTTAACAAACAGTAGGCCATTAGAGCGCATGCTGAATATTTCCTTGTCTTGTCAATCCCCCCCCCCCCCCCCCCCCCCCCTTATGAGCGTATGTTCACCTTGAATAATGACTGCCAACCTCTCTAAGACTGGAAGAGAGACAATAATCAAAATCTTTTGCTTGCAGTTGTAAGCGAATAAAGCATAAGCGACTGCACTTTGCAATGTGTTTTGCACAATACAAAGCATATTGTGCAAACGCTTCGCTCCTAAAGGGTTTAATTATGAGTTGCGCTAATATTGAAGCAGAAAATTCTGGTGCCGGGGACAAGTACGAGGCTTGTCAAAAACCATGGAATGGCTCAGACACATCTAATTGCTCCAGAGCAAACAGATGTGTCTTCTATTTGGAGGCATTTTCAGCTTATTAAAGCACAGAGTGTCTTGTGGCACATCAAATGGCATTCAGAATAATTGATTGGCTGTGAATATTGTATCAACCAACGGCATGCAAAAAGAAATCCCATCCATATATCATCCTTTGAGTGGTGATCGTCAGAACGGAGCAATGATTGAAAATTAACAGCAATAAAAACAGATTGCTTCTTCATGCTTAACGTATTGCGTAAATTTAATTTGACTGTAAAATTGCTATACATGACCAGGGTTGCCAGGTTTTCACAGCAAAACTAGCCCAATTGCTTTTCAGGGGGGATCCCCTAATAAAAATCGACTTGGCAACACTGTACATGACTGCAACCTTATCAAACAGAACTAAGCCCCACCTTAAATGCTTTACTAACCAATCCTGTGCTGGAATCAACAAAATCTTTTGTTGTTGCTGTTGATTTTCAATGAAATCTTGACCTGTTAACACAAAAAAAATTTACAGTTGACCTTTAGCTAAACCCAGCCTCTACTGGGCATTGCTCGCTCAGAAAAGAAAAAAAAACATCCTATTAGAAAGAATTAAAGAGTTCCTCATAAAATATTTGCTAATAAAGTGGTAAAAACTGAATGGGTATTAGTCGTACATGAGCTGGAATTAAATGTGACATTGCAAGCATATTATTTGCCATTTTCTTTAAATAATTTGTTAAATTAACCAGTAACGTGATTAAAAACTGCAGAGGCTGCAAATCAGAATCAACACAGTTGACTGAAATGAAAGAAACTTAATATAAAAGCAATTACAAGTGACAACTTCAGAGTGTAAGTTAAAAGAATGTTTCTACAATGTATTCACCATAATGTACACCCTAAGAATTAGTATAACTCTTAAGGTAATCAGTTTTAAATATTGATTTTCTCCTACACAAACAAATTAATTGCACGTAACTTTTCACGTAAATATTGAACAATTTGACAGTGCTGTGATTGTTGTTTTTAGCTACTCTATCCTTGGTTGACCTGAATCAATACCTGAATTATATAAATTAACATTAAATTAATTATCTTTGAAACAAATTTAGAATATTCATTTGGAAATGACGATGGCTGATGTATAGTGTAATTCACAAGGGAAAATAGCATGTTTGTGGTTTTTGGATAATTTCTGTAAAGATTCTCCATTAACTTCAGTTAGGATTAGTCAGTAACTAAAGCAGAGTTTGGCAAAGAGTTTTCGATATTATTACAATATTTTGTCAGCCATTTTACAGTATATTTGTATGTAACATAACATAACATAACATACTGATTAGGAAAGGTTTGTGTAGTCTAATAATTCCAGAGATTAAATTTTGCTATTATTAAGCGCAGCTGGAAGTTTAGTTTTGTTAAAAATCAAGCTGAAATTGAATTGAGATCTTGAGATTGTAATGTATTTTGCCCTCTCATTGGGCCAATCTGCTCAAGTGCCCATAGACTGTAAATCTTGAGACAAATCAAACAAGCTAGACCTGGAAAGCTTATTTATAATCTTGTCAATCACTCTCACTCTGATCTTGCTCCTCTTTACAGGAAGAACAAACATTTATTCCCAAAATAGTTCCCAAATCCTCAGTTTTAGATTAAAGCTGCAACTGCTGCAAGACAAGACAAGAGAGTTGATATTCTGTGAAGTCTCAAAAATACACAAAAGCATTTTAAAAGGAATTAAATAATTAATAAACAGGCCTGAAGTTTTATTTCCATCCACTACAATACTATGACACTGATTCTCAGCAGGTTTTGCTTCAGGTTCCAGATTTTTGTCATCTAGTGATAGCACAGTACCAAAATGATGTATAATACAAAATAAAATAAAACAAATAAATAATAAAAAATAAGATGTAGGATAGATAAAACAAAAGCAGAAGCAGTATTTACGCTGGAATTGAATGTTTGCCAAGTCATATCCATATCTAATTTCCAAGTATCAAGGCATGCCGTGCAACCAGTCCATGTTGGCATCTGCCTAATTTGGCTGCTTCTACCTTAATGATTCTAAAAAATACTGTGAGTTTGGATGCGCAGACTTTGACATCAGCAACAAAAGGTATCTTCTCCATTTTAAACAATATCCTATTTATAACTATGCTTTAGAAAATAATTTGGAAGAAATATTTACTTTTAATTCTGTATTGTTCACACAGAATAGAGCCCAAAATAGACACTGCGGTTATTCTGTGGATAATTATTACACAGATTTTGATAAATGATATGTAGGTCTCATGCACCTTGAACAAGTAGGCCTAGGTCTAGCAAAGACAATGTGCCTTCATGACTAGCAATTATTAAGGAGTGACACTGACATCTAGCCATAGAGAAGCGAATTACACGGTGCCCTTGCTGTCGTGAAATCACGCATGCCTTCATTTGCCCACAGTTGAAAGGTCGATCTGAAGATGGTAGAGTCGTAGATTTGTAACAACACGCAAAGCAGGTATTAAAACGTGGGTTTTTAATACTAACATATTTATATTTATATGAACTATATGTTTTGTAAAGCACATTGTTAGCTATTATACTATAACCATACAGTAGATTCAAACATAAAAGGAGTTTCTGTCATACAGGGTGAGTTCTGTGCTGAACAGAGATGTCAAGCAGTTCGGAAAGAAGTTCATGTTTGATTCTAATGAGGAGACGTGCTGGAATTCTGACCAGGTAATTTGGCCGAGTTGGTGCGACGTTTCGTGCGGGTTTCTCATTCTCTAACCCATTTTACCAACTTATTTTTAAAAATAGGGTGAATCCCAGTGGGTTGTCTTGGAGTTTCCACAGCCTGTGAAAGTGTCAGAGCTCAGGCTACAGTTCCAAGGAGGGTTTTCAGGGAAATCTTGCAAATTACAAGGTCAGTCAACACAAACAATATTAGCGTTTAGCGGTAAAACCTAAAAAGATCGACTTACTGTGAGCTCCGAGGTTGTTAAGGGATGGTGTGGAATAATTTACTGTCATTTTGAAGTTGTTTCGAAAAACGATTTAAGTAGCCTAATTGTACTTTCCATAAATGCTTAGTTGCTGTTGCCATGAAATCGCGGCAAAATAGCTCAACGTTTACCGCCCACTCCCATGAAGCATTGCGAATATTTTTCGTGAACTTGTTTTATATTTTGTTTTATTTTTGTTGAAATTTTATTCATTTAATTTTTATTCATAAGACACCATATTTGCTGTCTTAATACATCCTTGCCTTATTATGAACAATTGAAAATCTGATTTAGTTTTACCAATTTTAGTTTCACTCTTTCTGCAGTTTACGTAGTTAAGCCATGTGGCGCCAAATGAATGCCTTTTAGTGAGTCTTTTGAACCATACTCAACAGATTAGTTCAAAAACAAGTGACTGCATTTATGTGTGAGTCATTGAATCATTCATTCAGCTGATTCATGGATAAACTTTGCTTTATTCACCACTGAAATATCACTACTGTGCTGAACTGCAGCCCAAGGCATCATATCTACGACCGACTAACAACTTGCATAAATAAGAGATAAAAATGAATAATAGAGATTTAAAATGGTTGTTTTCTATAGGTTCTGCCAAAGAAGAGGATCTCAAACATATTGTAGACTTCTATCCAGAGGACAACAACTGTCTACAAATATCCTTCCAGATGGTGCAATATTATTCTTCACCTTCAGCAATCACCACCTTTTGTCATTTTTGCATCCGCTTTGATAAATGCATGTATATAATCCCCATATTCTCTCAGATTGAGTGTCTTCTGAACTCCCTCACAGTCAGTGGACTTTTCTAGTACAGTAACCTACTACGACTTCTGTTTTCTCTCTTTTCCTGGCCAATGGCCAAATTGCCCATGTCTTCAATTTATCCCAAGCTTATCAAATCCTTGATTCTTCACCCACAGTTTTCCCATTCAAGATGCCCCTTTGGTTCAGAGGCTGAAAATAGTGTTTGAAAACAGTGCTGACATTTTTGGAAGAATAATTGTTTACACATTGGATATCCTGGGGGAAAAGGTTTTGTAATGTTTTGAGAAAAGGACAACGAGGAAGTATGAAGAGGCGGGAATGCCAACCAACCCCCCCCCTTGCTTTCACCTCTGGATGAGGAACCTACTCACAGGAAAAGCATACACTGATGTTACTTTTGATCTCATTTCCTTTGTTTCTACAGAGATACTATGGATTATATTCACATCAAGTCAAAACACATGAACTACACGTTTGTAAAAATGTTTTTTTTTAATTAAAAAAAAAGATACAAAACTGGTTGTTCTTTACATCTCCTATGTCAAAATAAAGCTATAAAATATGCAGGATTATTGTAAGGTCTTGTAAGAGCAGTCCTCTGCTTCATGTGTTTTCAGAAACTGAAACTGGTTCCCGGAAGAGCTTCAGAATATGATCTTCAAGCAGTTTTTGCACTGCAAACAAGTTGGAAGACTTGTCAGTTATTAATTAATACAATTAAAATGTATTATTTGTTATATTAATATACTATAGGGAATGACTCTTGCCTTTTTTGTGGCCCAATGCAACAGCGAGAGCAACAGGACTGTAGCCAGAGTCTGCCTCAAACGTGATATCTGCCCCACATCCTAAACACAAACTTACTTTAGTTCATCATCACAAATAATAAAATGCATGAATATTTTGAAGACTTACTTAAGAGAGCTTCAACACATTTTGTGTGATTCCCACGAACTGCATACAGAAGAGGGGTCCCACCATTCTGTTAGAAAGTGAAAGTTTTTAGATTTGGAAAATGTTTCTGCAATATTTAATGGTTGTGTATGATGGATTTGTAAAGTTTTACGAACATTTTCCAAATAATTAAACTGCTCATACCCAGTCATAGGAATCAATATCAACACCATGTTGTAGGAGAATATTAACAATATCGGCAAATCCTCCTGCACTGGCCAAAGACAAGGCACTTTCTCGTTCTCTAGCGAGTGTTCTCGGATCTGCTCCCTGATATAATATAATATAAAAGAATATATACAGTTTATATATATATATATATATATATAGTCTATACTTAGTGGCTACAAAAATGTGTCTTTCTCACCTTCTGAAGGAGGAACTCCACCATCATTATCTCTCCAAATGCAGCAGCCCACATTAGTGGTGTGAAACCTCGCTCATCTTGGCTGTTAAGTAGAGAACTGTCTGCAAGATTACCCATATATATATATATATATACATACATATTTATTCAGACGTCCATTGATTTATTTGTTTATTTATGCATGCATGCGCTGGATGCCCTTATTTATTTATTTATTTTAGCAAGTGTTGTATATTTATTGATACCTTTGGATAAATGTAATTCCAGTTGTGAAATCTCTCCATGGGCTGCCAGCTGATGAATTGAGAGGTCTACAAGACATAATTAAATGCCATAATTACATTTAAAAAGACTATTAAATGCCTGCATTTGAAATCTGCCTATATCTATAGAAGGAGGTGGCAGACTCACTGTCTAAAGTGGCGGGTCGGACTGTGACCTCATTCCCCCGCTGTTTATTTGTCAGAGTGGTCGAGTGGTTTACTGCATTTTCATCATTTCGGGTTTCCATAATCGCTTATCATTACACCTGCTTTAAATGTACGCAATACAGAAAATATAAATAACTAATAAACCAGATTAGCGCCCATTATTATGCATAATTAGTTAATAATACTAATATAAAATAGCAAAATATGACTTAGGAGAATATTACCTTCGACTGTTTACATGATCTTAAACTTCACAGGTTCGTGTGATCGTATATGCTGCTTTTGTTTCCTGATTCGGTTGCAAAAGTGAAACTGAAATGGAAGTCTTGCAAGTGCATTGAACTCGCGCACGTTCAAAGTCTATTGAATGATACATGAAACAGTAGGCTACTTTTCTCATAATATATATCTGGCTGCAAAACTAATCGCATCTTTTTTAACAATTAGAGTTGGGCCAATAGCTTGAAATGGGTTTCGTGAACGAGTCGGAGGGGTTGGGCGAATCTTTTAGGAATCGTTTTAGTTCACTCTCATGTACTGACTCCTTGAGGCGCGTGACTGCTTTTTACTGCCTTCGAAGACGGACTATCCACCTTTTTCTTCAACGCGGAAGTAAGCCTATGGGTGAGACTTCCGGTTCATTAGCCGCTAGAGGTAAATAACGAGAAGAATAACAACGTGCAGTAAACGATAAAACTGTTTGCACTACAACCCAGTGTGTTCATAATTAAGATAATACATTAAAATAATACGATAAGACACACCAACTTTCAATATCAAGCAGCAAAACGAACTGTTTTGTTCAGCTAAAAATAGCTGGACGGAGTGGACGCAGATGAGACCGGAAGCCAGACCCATAGAATTTACAAATGGCCGCGCCCATTTTTATGACAAGAAAAAGGTGGATAGACGGAGCCAATAGCATTTGAGTGCGAGCTGGGAAGAAGTATTTCATTGGTTGGATCTACTGATCAATACGCCCCTTCATTGAGTAGGCTAGGTGTAACTCATCTGTCCCCTTGTCCAAATACCCACACTTGCGGTCTTGGCCACTTGAGAGCGCGTGCGCGCGACAGGAAGTAAGTGTGCAAGTCTGTCCCATGTCTTCAAAATGCCAAAGTGCAGTGCCCTTAATGGATACTAAATCCACACTATCTCGAATACCGCCCCAGAGCGCTATTCACCAAGTGTTTCCCATCATGCATCATGTTCTGGAAATAAATCGTGAGACTTTTTGCCGAGATCTCGCGAGAGGTCACGGAAACCTTTCCAGTGTAAGTTAAAAATTAATATAATAATTACATATTACAAATAATTTGGTAGAAAAACTGTGTTTTTACTTTTATCGGTGCAAAGATGAGTAGTGGTGATATTTATTTTGTACAACATTTGCAACTGCTTTTTATCATTTAATTAGAAGCACCACAAATTAAAATTATGTCATGTTATAGGGACTACTGGACAGACATTTAGAAGTTGATTTTAAAGTGCAAAGTATGTCCAATTAAAATTAAAATAAAGCTGTGTAAACACTTGCATTTTTACAACACTATAAGTGTGTCCCATCAGGTAATAGAGTTCGACACACACTTGTGGTCTTCACATCCACTTGAAGACTTCGGCCAAATACAGAAATACAGGAATTTAAGTAATCAAGTGGTCAAGTGCAAAGACTGCAAGTGTGGGTATTTGGACAAAGCCTGTCTGTCTGTCTGTCTGTCTGTCTGTCTGTCTACCTTTAATTATTCATGTTTATTGATGTTTGTTGAACAGCCCATCAGCTTTCTAGATAATGAAATATTTGGGTGAAAAAATATTATCTATTATTATATATATATATTTTTTTTTTTTTTTTACTAAATTAAATGATGTCTTTTGTGGAGAAAACGTAATACTCTAGTGCTTATATGTTTTTCTGTGATTTCTTAGTACACTTTTTTTAAAAAAAACAAGTTTACGATTTCAGTAAGACTTTTTTAAGTCATGAACGGCTCGGCTTCGTTCATGACTCGCTCGCTGGCACCTTCCTGCGTAAACATCTGCAGAAAAGGTCACTAAATGATGAAACGATTCAAATGATTCGATTCACCTAGATGAATCACAATCTCCAGAACTAGTGGCTAGGAACTAGTTATTGGCCTGATGTTACTCCTCCGGATGATGTTTTGGGAGCACACTTGTAGGGAAACAGCTGCGCTTTGATAATACAGAAGGACATTTATATCATACGTTAATATTTAATAAAAATGGAGGATCAAGAAATGCAGTTGAAAGTAAAAAGAGGTACCATGGATACATTCATGTTTTATAATCGACGACTCAGTGTACTTGTGTTTACACTATCTTTAACATTTAATTTACGATACTGAATTGATTATTAGACGCCTTATTTAAGCGTGTTAATAGTCTGATTTGAGATGACACATAATTTAATACGAACCTGATGAAGAGATACTGATGATATGTTTTGTTTTTTTCTGCTACAGTGACTGATAAATTCACAGAGAGTATGTATGTTTTGGCCAATGAACCGTCGATAGCGCTTTATAGGTTACAAGAGCACGTCAGGAGATCCCTACCAGAGCTCGTGCAACACAAGGTAAGTTACCTTATTTTAATGCGTTTCATTTGTTGCCTAGCCTATATTACAGTAATACAGACAATACATTTGCCTAAACGCTGTAATTTGGTTATTTTTAAAGTTATTTGCCTGAATGATTAACATTGACCTACCATATTAGAATCTCACAGGTTTCACTTAAGAATCTCACTTTACATTAGAAATTATACACTGAACAAAATTATAAACGCAACACTTGTTTTTGCCCCCATTTTTCATGAGCTGAACTCATGAGCTGATAGACTTTTTCTATGTACACAAAAGGCCTAGTTCTCTCAAATATTGTTCACAAATCTGTCTAAATCTGTGTTAGTGAGCACTTCTCCTTTGCCGAGATAATCCATCCACCTCACAGGTGTGGCGTATCAAGATGCTGATTAGACAGCATGATTATTGCATAGTAAATTATAAAATATAATTTTTTTTTGCTGGAAAACAATGCCATACTGTGTAATATATTACTGATTTATTATTTCCTGTTACAACAAGCAACTGTTAAAAACCCATCTTTTTAAAATATCCTACACTTATTAGTTTAACTTAAGCTTTTTAATAGGGTATGTTTGTTATATTCTGTTCTATGTTTTGTCATGTTTTATTGTTGTTATTTATTGTCTTATGTTAAATATTATATATTATTGTCTTATATTGTGTTTTAATTTAGCCTATTTGTAGTGCATTGGGTATGATAAAGCACATTATAAATAAAATGTATTAGTGTTATTTTAGCAAGCTGACTTAAGTGTTGTACTCATTTATTGTAGGCAGACATGCAGGTGTTGTGCATTTATTTTGTTTTATTTTAATGTATTATCTTTGTATTTTTGTAGCACTTTGGGTTTGGGGAACTTGCATAATAAATCAAATGTATTCTAATATTATTTTATTATCAAGTTGACCTAAGTGTTGCAATTATGAATTTGTAGACTGATATGCAGATATGTATTTATTTTGCTTTATCATTGCTATTTATTGTATTTTCTTTTATTTTTGTAGCACTTTGGGTATGAGAAGAGTGCATTATAAACAAAAATATATATTTATTGTTATTATATTAGCAAGTTGACTGAAGTGCTGTGATGAATTGTGAATTTGTAGACAGACATGCAGAGTTGGGAGGAGCAAAGTCAAGGAGCAATCTACACTGTTGAATATGCATGCAGGTAAGATATATATATATATATATATATATATCATATATATTATGTAGTACCTTATTTAATGTACTGTGTGTGTGTGTGTGTTTTTCAGTGCGGTTAAAAGCATGACGAATAGTAGTCTCTATTTCAAGAATATAGACGGTCTGCTCCGGCAAGCCATTTCACTGAAAGAACAGATCAGCAGCTCACAGGGTCGAAGGTTGTAGTCATTATCCATTTTAATGCAATTACATGCATCAAATTTACGTTATTATTTATTTATTTCGTTTTAGTTTTATATATCACTTCACTGTTAAATGTAAATGTGGCATTGACCTCCTGTAATTTTTCTTTGCTTGTTTGCTTCACTTTTAATTTGCTCACTTTTTCTGTTTTTAAACATACATGTCACTTCAGTGCTGTGAAACCTGCAATTAATCCAAATGATACACCCACACACACTTCAATCACACCACCTTGACTCATGGAAGTCTTTCTCCAAGGTTAGTTTTACTTCATTTTTGTTTGTTTTTTTCTACATCACGCATGCCGTGTTAGTGGTAATATGATAGTTTATGTACAAAATTTCATTAAAAAAAAAAACATTTAATAGTATTTCAGTTTTATTATGACAGAAATTTTAAATACCGATTCAGATCAGCTTCTCCCATAAGTTATTCAATTATGCTATTTTTCTTAACTTTTATAGTTGTATTGTTCTGTTCCAAAATATGTCTTTCTAGTAAAAAAAAAGAGAACAATTGACTATCCTACAGCTACACAAATTCTCAAGTATTTCAGTAGTTATTTCACATTTTAACAATTAGTGTGATTTCTAACACATGTAAGTTGATATTAGGTGTACGGAAAATAAATTTTTACATATTTTGCTTTAAATGTCACAAATAATTTAAGATGCAATAATCTGATGAAAAAGCAGTACATTGTGAAATATTCTTAAAAGTTTAAATAACTATTTCTATTTTAATGTATTTTAAAATGTAATTTATTCCTGTGATGCAAAGCTGAATTTGTCTTCAGTGTCACATGATCCTTCAGAAAGCAATTATTTAAACCGTAATAATATTACACAATATTAATGTTTTAAATGTTTTCATCAAATAAATGCAGTCTTACAGAACATAAGAGACTCATTTCAAAAACAAAAACATATCTTAATTATTCCACCAGTGTCTATGTGTATATACTGTATGTATGTGTGTGTGTATGTATATATATGTGACCATGGACCACAAAAAAGTCATATGATGATCTAAAAGCTGAATAAATAAGCTTTCCATTGATGTATGGTTTGTTAGGATAGGACAATATTTGGCCGAGATACAACTATTTGAAAATCTGGAAACTGAGAGTGCAAAAAAAATCAAAATATTGAGAAAATTTAAAGTTGTCCAAATGAAGTTCTTAGCAATGCATATTACTAATCAAAAATTAAGTTTTAATATATTTATGGTAGGAAATTTACAAAATATCTTCATGGAACATGATCTTTACTTAATATCCTAATGATTTTTGGCATAAAAGAAAAATCAATAATTTTGACCCATACAATGTATTTTTGGCTATTGCTACAAATATACCCCAGCGACTGAAGACTGCTTTTGTGCTCCAGGGTCACATATATAAATGACAGTACATATTGTATTATTTAATGCCCATCTTAACATCAAACTAGATATGATACCATTCATACTAAAGTTGAATCCTTGATCGTGGCTTTTCTAGCAAATACAGATCTCATCTCGCTGTTGACCCCGTTCCAGGGTTTGGCCTGTGCTTGAAACAGGCCGGACTCTGTCGAAAGTGTCCGGTGCGTCCGTCCACTCCCACCGCCACTGTAGTCGTCCTTATCGCTGCGAGGGCCAATAGATGCCCAGTACTGTGAGTTAGGATCGATGTGAGCAGGGTTGATGAAATGGCTGTGCAGGTTGGCTAAACTGTGCTGCCTCTGTGACTTTTCCACAATGCTTAGGTTCGACGTACGGATTCCAGCGATGTTTTCAGGGTTGCTGTGGTACATGGTGTGGGCATGTTCATTGTGGAAGTGTTTGGCTGTATGTGCGGCCCGTATTAGGGAGTGAATAACGATAAGTAGCAGGATGAGAACACCAGAGGAAAGCACGCACACGCTGGCTATGCCCGTCTCAACTTCAAACATCAATAACATGTAAATAGACATGGCTGTGAGGGGAAAAATGAAATATTTGTCAAATCACTCCATGCTGTTTCATCTGAATGATGAATATAAACTAATGTACTGTTGTTTTCCACAGGAAAAGAGCTTTGGATCCTGGTATGCTAAAGGATGGAGGGGAAAAGCACAGCTCTGGGATATAAACTGATGAAGATCTGGATAAAACCATATTCACTTGTTGCCACTACTTCATATTAATGATGATGGCTACTCTAAAATATTGAAGCCCATTGTCAAATCCAAGTTACAAAATAAAAAAGGTAATTCTGAGTTTAAAATAAGAAATAAATGCATCTAGTGAGATCAAAGTCACAATTAGGAGTTGCAACTCCAGGAATATATTGCAGTTGCGAGACTTAATGTCACATTATGCAATATAAAGGCACAATTTGCAAGGTTTAAAGTCAAATTGTGAGATGGAAGTCATAGTCGGGAAATACAAAGTTGCAACTGCAAAGAAAATATTGCATTTGCCAGATTTAATGTAACATTGAAGTGATGTTATACATTATAATGACAATATACAGTGATGTATGACATTATACAATTTAAATTCACAATTATAAAAATGTAATATCTCAATTAGCAAAAAAACTTGTAATTGTGAAGTTTAATGTCACACTGCAACATTTAAAGTCACATTATGAGATATAATATCACAAATAGAATATATAAAGTTATCGGCGTTGCGAGATTTAATATTGCATTGCGAAATAAATTAACATGAGAGATAAATTAAAAGTCACAATTGCAAGATATAAAGTCATGATTGCCACTTTTTTCTTTATTCTGAGGTAGAAATGGGCTTCCTTACTAAATATAAAGTAAATTTTTTGGTATTGACATGATATTTATAAGCTGCTTTAGGTGTTCTGGTTACAATTTGTTCACATTTTGCACAATAATTCTTCATTTGTTGTAATAAGGTCAATGTAACTGTTCTGTAAATGTGTATATGCTGAACTTAAAGATTAAAGTTTTTAAGTATAATTCATGACATGACTTCCATGTGGTTTTTGTGTAACACTTACCAGCTAAGTAAACTGAAACTCCAAGGCAAAACAGTCCAATGGTTACATGCCGAACAACCCTGTTATCCGATAAAAACCAGTCGGCCCTAGGATATAAGCAAAAACTGAGATCATTTCTTGTTGCATGGACGAGTAGCAGGGCCTCAATTTGCAAAACAAATAGACTGATTTCAAAGACCTGCTAGAATGCTGTTCTTTGAATTATTAGACATTTTAAAATGTTCAAACCTGGGTTATATCTGAGAAAGTTGTTCTGGAGGTCAATATGAAATTCAAAAGTCCATTAAATGTCATTTACCTTTGATATACTGTGTGGACCCCAAAAATATTTGGATATTTGAGCTATATAGCACTTTCACAGAGCTAACTCTTTTTCTCTCTATTTTTTGTTTCCCTCAATTACTTTCAATGTTATTTTTAGTTGATGAATAAAGAAATTCTCCTCAAGTTCTCACAGGTGTGATTCATCACATTCACTATATGTTCAACAACCAAAAACTGTCCAAATGATTCTTGTATGAAGGGCTTTACAACTGTTTTAACTCTTTTTGGGGAATGTTTTGCTCGAAAAGTGCTTGTATCATTCTTTCAAATTTGGTTTAAGATTCTGTATCTAATTCTATGATAAAGTGTCTACATAAGTGTCTCCATTACCTTTGTGTATCTGGTTCTCCTCGGCATATTTCAGTAGCGAAATAGCTGTGAAGCAAACACACAACAACTGAGCTCAAGTTGAGCGTCAGAGATAAGGCTGAGAGGACCGTGGAAACGGCCATTAACACAGCTGTGATCTCACTCGACCCTAAAGTAGGCGAATCCTTTAGAACAGCCTGTTGCGTTTGGAGCTGGAAGATCAAAATGACGGACAACACGGACATTATTGCGGACAAAATCCCTAAAACCGCGAGTACCACGAGAGAACGCTGACTGTAGGAATGCGTCATGTCCGACAGTGAATAAATGCCCGATTTACTATGTAAACAAACCGCCAAATCTGCGAAAGTCCATCAAAAATGGTGTTTTTCCACTTTTCCTCGATATCTTCCCAGTATGTTTTCTGTTTGCGGGTTTCTTGACAAGGAAAACAAACGATGCTTGAGTGGCTGCTGTGGAATGCGCGTGCTCTCGTGCCGCTGTTGTTCAGTCAGAGCATGTGATCCACTTTAAATCCCCAGATTAAAAACTTTTTTCATGCAACAATGGAGTTTTTATTTGGATTTATTCGCCCAAGCAATGCAGCAGCGTGCTCGTCCGGCATTTATTTGGCTCTTAAGAACTTTTCTCCAAAGGAATGCGCATGCCTATCCATGTTTTGTTGTTCAGTGCATGCAACAGGTGTAGTGCACTAACTTAAGTCTATTTTTCATGAAACATTCTGCGCGTGCCTCAAGCATAACCAAATTTATGGACAAAATATTTTTTTATTTTTTTATTAGTCTTCTTATTATGTATCTTTACAGTTTTTAACTTTTATATTTTATAGGCTACATTTATTTATTTAGCAGTCGCTTTTATCTAAACCCAGACAGCACACGTTTTCAAGATGTCTGTTAAAGATCGCTTGATCTGGAAAGCATCTGCTGTGTACAAACATCTGTCTGTAAGATGTCAGTTTTACATACAGTTGAGGTCTAAATTTACACCCCCCTTTCAGAATCTGCAAAATGTTCATTATTTTACCAAAATAAGAGGGATCATACAAAAGTATGCCTTAATAGCTGGGGGGTGAACACTTTTTTTCATTTAGTACTACCCAGGGGCGCCACTAGCAATTTTGGGCCTTATGAAAGAATATGAGGTTGGGTACAATTTTTAAATACATGAATTATGTTTCCATCTTTGATGCCACGGTTTTGGAAGTGCCTGTTTCTGTTCTAAAGAAGGGGGTGTCCCAATACATTTGTCCATATGTGTGTACAAGTCACAGGTGTTTGGTGATGAGTTTTTGGCTCAAGGTCTGCATTTAAAGTCACACCAGAGGTGTTCAGCTGGGATTAGGACTTGGCTTTCTGCAGACCAGTCAAGTTCTTCAAAACTGACTGAATCAATCTTTTTTTTTAACCTTGCCTTATACAGAGAGGCATTGTCGTGTTCGAATAGAAAAGGGTCCTGTTCAAACTATTGGTATAAAATTAGAAGCACACAATTCCCTAGAATAACATTTTTTTTTTACTAAAAAATAGAAATTACTAAAGTAGTCAAACCTGTTCATTAGAAGGGGGTGTCCCAATACTTTTGGCAATATAGTGTACAAGCCAGCCTAGCTATTCAAAATCTTTGTCTGCAATTTAATAATATTGACCTATGCTTTTGCTATTGCTTTTGACCATTAGCTAACAGTAACATAATTCATTCAGAAGCTGTTTTATGGACACAGACTTTCTGTACCACACTATTCTGCTGATATGGAATGAGTTTGACTACTTAATCAGTTATATTAATAGAAATGCTTCACTGGGGCAAACAAAAAAATCCTAAAATAATAAATAGGATACCCCATAACACCAGCATTTCCAGCAGTATCCAACATTTCTCAGTCATGATCTTACTCAGCTAAATGTGACTATTAGCTTAACAGCTGTATTCCTTGTTTGCTAGCTACCTATGCACATACAGCAAACAATGTTAAAAATTTTCTACATTATGAACCTTAACCCAAAAACCTTTAGCTTCATACACTGTAGATAATTGTGACCCTGCCAGCTAAAGTATTTTTTTAAACAGTGGATGAGTAATTCACCCCTTGATTTGCTTAATAAAAGCCTCCTTTGAGATCGTTTTGACAGACATGTTTATTGTCTATTATTTTCAACGTGTTTATTGCTAAGTCTAGTGTGGCAAACGGTGGCTAAATAATTAAATAATAATTCGCGTGCACCTCACGCGCTTCCTGCTGCTGCTCTGTGTAATCAGAGTATGAATTTGTAGAGCTTCTATCCACCTTTTTCTTGTGGTAAAGGTGCCTTGCTCAAGGGCACCTCAGTCGTGGTATTGAAGGTGGAAGAGAGCGCTGTACATTCACTCCCCCCACCTACAATCCTTGCCGGTACGAGACTCAAACCCGCAACCTTTGGGTTACGAGTCCGCCACGACTACCCCCCTCGAAAGGGGGATGTAAACTTTTGACCTCAACTGTATATTCATAAACATCTAAAAGACGTCTATTTGACGTCTGATAGGAAATGTCCTATAGAATTGTATCGCTAAGCAACTTACAAACAATGTACATAAGGAGGCAATAATCTGATAAGTTCTAGCAAAAAATTTTTCAAACATTGTCCAGAATAGTACAAACTAGACGAAGAAGGGATATACGAATAGTCAAGGAATATTATAGTTTATTAATAGTCATTTATAGTGCATTATTCACCTTATTTTGCATCGCAGAAGATATTTTCTTTGAATGTGCGAGATCTCCGAATCATAAACCGCTAAGTAGCGGCATTGAGCAGTAAAACTATTTGCCCTGCAAACCAGTGTGTTTATGATTATGATGATGAATTGAAATTACAGGATGTAAACTTTTGACCTCAACTGTATATTCATAAACATCTAAAAGACGTCTATTTGACGTCTGATAGGAAATGTCCTATAGATGTATCGTCCTATAGAATTGTATCGCTAAGCAACTTACAAACAAGGTACATAAGGAGGCAATAATCTGATAAGTTCTAGCAAAAAATGTTTCAAACATTGTCCAGAATAGTACAAACTAGACGAAGAAGGGATATACGAATAGTCAAGGAATATTATAGTTTATTAATAGTCATTTATATTGCATTATTCACCTTATTTTGCATCGCAGAAGATATTTTCTTTGAATGTGCGAGATCTCCGAATCATAAACCGCTAAGTAGCGGCATTGAGCGGTAAAACTATTTGCCCTGCAAACCAGTGTGTTTATGATTATGATGATGAATTGAAATTACATAATAAGAAATACCAGTTTGCAGCATAACTGGCTGTTTTGTATAATAGCTGGAAGCGAACAAGACCGGAAGCCTCGCACATTCAAGTTTAAAATGGCGGTTTGTTAACACCTGTAATTGAAAATATGATTTGAGATTTCCCAAATAAATTGTGAAAGACTGAAGTCATTTTAAAATCATGTTGTAGCTATATATAGGCTAATCATAAACAGGCCAATAATAAAAATGTAAACATTAAAAACAACATCATGCAAGGACTTCCTATTTTTATGTCTAAAGCAATAACTTCATGCTGTAGTATTTCTTATCCTTTAACTAATAACTTAAGGAATGAGCTTGCTAGAATGCTAAACAAAAATTTGTTTTGGTGGGTTTTGAGTGAAATGGGCCTACTTGCATGACAAGATCATTAAAGCGGTGCATATTTGTAGTGTCATTCACAAAAATATGTATATTAAGACTGATTATTTTGCACAAAAATTAAACTACACAACAAGAAAGATGTATAGATCTGGAGGAATGGGTTTGAGAGCACTAAGGTAAGAGACCCAGCGACTACATTGCCTTTTTTGTGTGTTTTGAAAGTGGTGCAAATAGAGGCAGTAGTTGCTGCCTTTTAAAACTGATAAAGCGTTGCTTCGTTGCCTTAGAGACAAGCATTGTGCTCTGGAGAACTCTTAGTTAAGGCAATGGAAAGCTTTTTGAAAAATAGCCCACATCCAATCACATGTTCTAATTTCTAAGAACTAGTGCTTGATTATAAATTACTCTGAAATATCTGACATTATATACAGGCAATATCCTGATGAGTGCTGCTCTTCTTTTTGTATGTTACAGGTGCAGAAGCAGTGCTGAAGATATAAAGAGCATCAAGCCTACGGTAGGCCTTTATCAGGAACATTTTATTTATGAATCTAAATGTTATAAGCATTATATTTAAGCTTATTTACATAAAGGTGAAACATTGCTTGTTACCTTAACCCTGAATGCGCAGGTGGGTTTTTTTTTCTCAGAATGGGCTGATGGGAACTCAAGGTCTGCCGCTGTGCTGAACGCGATAAGCCAGACACTAAAAAAACATCGCCTGAAGAATCGCCTAAACATGAACGCTGACCAGAGAGGCTATTTCTGAATCCGAGAGACTCACCACATGTACAAAAACTCCAGGCCGCTGATATTGTCAAAAGCAGAAGTGAGAAGTTTCAGGGAAAAAAAGTTGACACTTGACACTTTCCAGACTTTCCTTTATTCGATATGAGACGCAGTTATGTGGAGTAGTAATTATATTAACTGCTATAAATTTATTACACACTTGACTTTACATAAAGGTTCCAGTTAACTTAAAAAGGTTTTACACTCTTAAAAATAAGGTTCCAAAAGGGAAGAACCATTCTGGGTTCCTCAAAGAAACTTTCAGTGAGCAGTTCTTAAAATAACAATATTTTTCTTAGTATGAATAACCTTTAAATAATCTAAAGAATCTTTTTTTTTACTATAGAGAACCTTTTGTGTAATGAAAAGGTTCCAAGGATGTTAAATGCTCTTATGGAACCATTAACGCCAATAAAGTATTTTTAGAATTTGAACCTTTACAGTGCACACTTTAGTACAAGAGGAGACCATTTTAATGTTCTACAAAGAAAAACGTATTCTTTACTTTGATGCATATAATGAAGCTTTGAAGAACTGAGAAATTAATATAGTGATGCAAGTAATATCTTAATGTGATTATGAATCTGTATAACTATTGAACTTTTTCACCTATTGTATTTCTGGATCAGAAATCCTATTAGATGTTTGAGTTCGGTTACATTTAATTATATTAATTGACATAAAATAAGAAAAGAGACATAATAGCCAGACTTTTAATTTAATTTATCCAACCCTAAATGAAATCTTTATTTTCTCCATAAATTATATTGAATAGTCAATATGCCTTTTTAGGCAAGACACCGGCAAAATTGGTCAGTTTGTGATTTTTGGGCTATTTTGCTTTCATAACTTTTGTTACACTTTATCGATTTGCATCTGTGGATTAGAGTTACAATATTACCTTTTATTTAAATATAATTTTCTCATTTGTTTTCATAGTAAGCCAGAAATTTCCGCTTCAGTTCCACTGATTTACAAACCCGATTCCAAAAAAGTTGGGACGCTGTACAAATTGTGAATAAAAACAGAATGCAATGATGTGGAAGTTTCAGATTTCAATATTTTATTCAGAATACAACATAGATGGCATATCAAATGTTTAAACTGAGAAAATGTATAATTTTAAGGGAAAAATAAGTTGATTTTAAATTTCA